ATAAGTTACTGTGCGCACTTTTTAATTCGTTATTATTAAACTATTACATAGAGCGTTTACGAAGTCTTATGTTTCTGATTCATATTTATACTGTCATAATATGCTCGGATGTAATATGTCCTCTTCAACTAGTTCATCAAATTCAGTAAAAAGAGTTTTACTCAAAAACAGGGTATAGGTGTGGGTCATAGTGGACAGCCAGGTGACCGTATTGAGGGTGGATGTGCGGGGTGTGCATACACAAAATGAATGCCCACCCCCACACCACGCACAATCAATAGCAATAAACCACTTTCAACCTAGATTTATAGGAAAAGTACCTTTACAAGTCTTTTAGCTAGGTGGAACTCATTTATTCCGAAGTCACATAAAGCAAGTGTAATTAGCAAAATGGCATACAGAGCAATAAGAGTTTGCTCTTCCTATAACGTAATACACGGTGAATTTATTTATATAGAACAATTAGCATTACAAAACGGATATCCAATCAACTTTGTAAAATCTCAAATAAAAAAAAATTGACTAGATATCTGGTACAACCACGACAAAGTGACATAGTAAAAACGAAGAAATAAAGAAATCATGATGAAAAACATAATGAACAAATATTTATTGATTTACCTTATTTCGGAAAATCAACTCAAATCTTCGGTAAAAGAATTTTAAACTTAACAAAAAAAAATAAAACATCAAACACACGTTCAACCGCTTAGCAGGTCTTCATCCGCTATCTCAAAATTGTTTTCCATTAAAGATTCAATCAATAGGAATTTACAATAACATCTGGTGTATCAAGTCAACTGCCTAAACTGAGATGCTTCATATATAGGTCACACCAGAAAGCAAGCAACACGAAGATTCAAAGAACATGATGAACCTCAATCAAAACAGGTCCATCTAAATTCATCATCAAAAACAACAACAATTGATTCTACCCTTGGATTAAGACGTTCTGAACGAAACAAAGGAAAAAACATCCTGAAATTTGATGACTATGATACACAAGATAATATTTCTCACTAAAAAAAATTCAGCATTATATAAACATGAAATTGAAAATAATCACAAATTAGATTGAACTAAATGGAAAATATTATCCAAAGAATCAAGAAGATATCAATTGCTCATATTAGAATCATTAGAGATTTTAAAAAGTCAACCCTCACTAAACCGCACCGTATGTTCAGCACCTCTTGTTGTATTCCCAGATGGATTACAAACATCAAAATCACAAGTTAAATTAAAAACAGTAACTGTTAAATAAACCCGTGGGAGAGATACAGTTTGTTAAGCGCTTAACAAACTGTAGAATTAAATAGTAAAGGTATTGTTCGTTCACCTGAAGGGTTACTAGAACTAACGAATGTATGTCTTTATTTTCTCTTTCTTCTAAATCTATCTTATTATATTGCAACATCTTTTGTCTTGACAATGGTAACCGAGCTACCGAAACGTCGACTTACTAAAATAATAAATAAAATAAAATTTAAATTTAAAGCTGCTGTTATAGCTATATGTTTTAAGTAAAATTGTCTTCATTCTCAACTCTTATCGGTATTCTTTCATTCTGTATAGTATTATTTAGTGAAATCTGTTTCATAAAACGCTGTTTCTTTTGTTTTATCGATTTCATCTGTTTCAGTTTAGTATCTTGTAAATTATCATCGATTATCTCAATTTTCTACAAGATAACAGTTTTATTACTACAAGAGTTGCAATGATTCCAACAACTGATACAAATAATACTATTGTCAGACAAAGAGTTACGAATGTGATTCTCAAGCAGTAATCAAGGACATTACTGCTCATTTATTTTTCTTGTCTTTCTTCAGAATCTCGGCATCTTTTTGATTTATTAGCATGTTACATGCAACTATCTTCAACACATCATCTCTATAGGTACACATTCACCTTTTTTTACTCTATTGAAAGGAAAAAATATTTTTAGTCCTTTTATTTTAATACAACACATTTAAGCACGAGATTTAAAAGACAATAGTTTTGTGAATCATTCCCCTAATACACGTTTCGGTAAATCCACAGCTTACAAAACTGATATAAAACTCGTTGCATGTCTATGCGAAAGATTTATGCTTCATATAACAAAAACTGTAACGAATCAACAAGCAGAAACTGTGATTTTAAGGAATCCAAGAGAAAAAAAGCAAATTAGACTTTTTAGGGTATGTGGGTGTGGGTATGGATCTTCTCTTAACCTACCCACACCCCATACCCATACACCCCACACCCCACACTCACACCCTTCTTGATAGTTTGCGGAATAAATGGTTGCTCTTGAAGAAAAGAAGTTTTTAAAATAAGAAATCGCTCGATACCTTTAAGTCCAATATCATCTCATAAGTGACATTTAGGACGCAAAAAATCAATTTTACATTCAATATTCTCTCTACCTTCAAAACAGAGTGTGTATTGCTCGCTGCGAATATCTTTCTTTTAGCAATCAATTCCTGAAAACAAAACTCGGCTACAACGGTTGATCGAAGTCAAAATATAAGACGGTGAAAAAAATCGAGATTTACTCTAGCTTGGCGTTGTAAAACTTATCGGGATTGAAAAGGCTAAAACAGTAAAGTTTACTGTAATTTTGTTTCACAAAATGCGACTAAGCTTCGACATAATCATTAGCCCATTGTAGGAAAATTGAAAACTTCGACGTTATTATTTGTTAGTATTTGATTTTCCAATAGTCATGCGAAAATTTACGCGTATTTCTAGTTGTGGCAAATCTTGAATGTGAACGATTCAAAAACTTGTCTAGGCTTGCAAAAATTTGGGTAAAAGTAAATGTATTTATGTTTGTTGTGCAGTGATAGAAATAAGTCAATAACGTTTTGCCATCTACTTGCAACATAGAGTATCTTTTTTGCTTTGCTCGAACGTAACTCATACATTTTTTTTACCCATTACACGTGAATAGTTTCTTTATTACTTTTTTTGCTTCAGAAATAATTTGAAAAGGTGCAGCGTTATTCACTATAATTATAACTTTCATTCACAACTCATGATCTATTGCGCATACTGGCATTCAAGTGAGAATGATCCAAAAAAGCCTACGAAGAATTGTAGAAAACAAACTCAGTACTTTACAACTAACACGTAACAAACTGAAGAGTAAGTGTGTGGGTGTGGGAGTGAGTATGAAAAGAAATCAACACCCACATCTCATCCTATTACAACATTGATCATAGTCTATTCAATTGTCATCAAGCACATCAAACAATCGTCTCGAGGCATTCAGCACCATTCACAGGCAAGCAGGGCGCGTGATATGCACGTTCTTACACGTATCGCATTCATCACCTTGATTACTATCACCTTTGATATACCGTTGTTGATACTGTACATTATAGCGGTGATCACAAATCAACAAAATCTATTCTCCCTCGAATAAAAAAAAACCTACCTTTTTGCCATTTTTTCATCACGCAATACCCTGTATTAAAAAAACACCATACACTACAAGATGCAGTGTGAAAAATTCTACAATCTACAAAGGACAGCTTATTTTATAATTGCACTTTTTGTTTCCAAAATGGACAAAATTATGAGCAACTATTTTTTGACATTTCGAAAAAAATAATTTTTTAGTACACGATTGATTTTTTTTTTATTTCATCCTTTTATCACCTGGTATGCTTTATTCAAGAAACAAAATATGTCATAGATGCAGCGTAAAAAGCCCTGCTTTTTACAAAGAATAGCTTATTTTATATATGCATATTTTGTGTTCAAAATGGACGAAATTCTGTGCGGCTAATTTTCGACCCTACTGGAAAGATCATTTTTTGGTACACGACGAATTTCTTTTCTTATGTCATCAATTAATGAATCATTGCTTTTTAACTTTATTCTATTGTTCGGCATCGATTATGGCTTTCGATACAACCCATTAACCAAAACAATATGAAAAGGAAGTTGATCGAGTACCAAAAAATGATCTTGTTCGCCACGTGAAAAATTAGTCGCAGAGAATTTTGCCCATTTTGAAAACAAAAAATGCAGTTATAAAATAAGCTGTCTTTTGTAGATTGTAGCTCTTTTCACGTTGCATCTTGCGGTGTATTTTGGTTTTTTAATACAGCGTATTAGATGATGAAAAAATGAATTGAAAAAACGAACTTTTTTTGTCCGAGGAAGAGTGCATAAGTATGAATAGAAAAGGCAGGCAATGTGTTCATTTATTTAGTGAGTATGCAATGAAATTTAAAATAAACTCTGATGGTGGAAAAAAAAGCCAACGATAAACAACTGTTTAAAGCAATCGAGCAAATGGAAAATGGTAATTAGGTTTCTCTTCGCTTAAGTTTTTCTTTCTGGCATTCATGTAATTATCTTGAAGATACTCGAAGTGTTTTTAACGTGATTCTGCTATGCTCAAGCGTGAAGAGTAAAACGCGTATGATTGCCGCTGTAATTAGAGATTTCCCACCCCTAGACGCGTTTTTCAATCGCAGTTGGACGATGTTACGGTTTCTTTCTTTCCTTTCTGTCCTAGATATATATATATATATGTATATACGATTTCACATAATGTAATGAGGGCTATATTTGCTGCTGTAACCATCAGAACTTTGGTATTGTATATCCAGCAATGTTCAGACTTCCAAAAAAGGAAATTTCAGAAATTTCGGAAGTTTCAAACAAGTGTGCTCGAAATTGTTCGGTGTTCCAAAAAATGATGTAATTTCCGTAATTCTGTAGTTAGGAAATTTCCGAAATTACAGAAATTACGCAAATTTCTGAAATTTCCAATGTTTGCAAAAACTTTTGATTTGCACCGCCATGTAGTTATCGAGCTGATGGAAATTTTGGAAATTTCAGTAATTTCCTTTTTCAGAAATCTGAACATATCTCTGTTGATAGACAGATAGTTATAGTATCGATTTCAGATATAGATTTAAAAGGCTTGCAATATAATTTATTGAAAAAAAATCTAGTAAGGTTATATGAAAACAAAAAATTTATCGTAGTAATGTCTTTCAACTAGCATTCAAACTTTTTTCTCTTTCTATCCAATCATAGTGACCAGCCATTTGTAAAAGCCAATTTTGACTAGGATGCTGTCCGATAAAATCATGAGGAAAGCCAACTTTGAAATCGTATGCGTCTTCAATTTCTTTAATTTCTTCTTTACTCAAACGCATTTTCAAAGCATCAATATTGTCTTGTAAATGTTCAATTTTTCGAATACCGACAATAGGAAAGATATATGGTTGCTTTGACATTACATAAGCCAAAGCAATCTGTGTCAGTGAAACATTTCTGGCCTTACCAATTTTATCTAGAACAGTCGTAACAGCTTTATCTTCTTCAGATGGACCTAGATTGATATGTAATTAGAAATTTATTATTGCAAAGAAATATCATGTACCTTTTCTAAAACCACCAAATGTTCGTCCTTTATCACCTGTCTTTTCCATTGCTTCTATTTGTTCTTGTGTTTTAAATTTACCACCACCCAATGCTGCCCAAGGCGCGAAAGCCATTCCTTCGTCTCGAAGCATTGGAAGAATTTCTCTTTCAACATCACGTTTAGCAGCATTGTAAAGTCCTTGATAGACTGAAAACTGACGAAGTCCATAGTCTCTTGCATATTGATTGGCTTTCGCAACAACCCATGCAGGTGTATCACTTACTCCCAAATAAAGTACTTTACCTGCTTTGACCAGATGATCAAGAGATTGCATCAACTCAGGAATCGAACAGGTATAATCCCACCTAATCAAAAAGTAAATCAAAAAAATTGATCTCTACTATGAATAAAAAGTTTAGATGATGGTCTTATCTGCGAAAGTCTTTTAGAAAAGATGATCAAGCAGAATTCTTACCAGTGTACGTAAAGAAGATCAATATAATCTGTTTGAAGTTTTTTCAAAGAAGCAGCTACACTTTCATGTAAAGATTTGGCTGAATTTCCTGCAAAATTGACATGAATTGGTTCTTTCTCCCAATCCGATCTGTATCTACTGGTGTACTTAGTTGCAATTACCATTTGACTACGATTCTGTCGTTTTTGCATCCATTCTCCTAACCAGATTTCACTTTGCTCCTTTTGATAACCATTGGCAGTATCGATAAAATTTCCTCCCGCTTCATAAAATAAATCAAGAATTTTAAATGAATTTTCTTTAGATTGTGTGCCCATAAATTCCCATGCATCACCAATAGACATTGCACCCAAACATAGTGGTGATACACGAACAGCCGCAGTAGGCGACAAAAGACGATATCTACCTAGAGCACTTGGAGGTGGTGGTGCCGGTTGCATATTATAATTATTTTCGATCTAGAATTGTACAGAATAGTTAAACTTAATATTAAAAAAAAACACGTAATCTTGGTACAATGATTACACATAATTCAAGACACTCTTCATCTAACATTATACTACATGCCGATTTTTTTTCTTCTAAATCAGATTGTGAAAAATAATACTGCACGAGAATATTTTCTTTTTTTTTCGTGTAGATTGTTTTAGGTGTGTGTGAGACGGTTACCAACTTATCAAAAAGTATATCTTCACACAAATAGATATCAAACTCGGCCGGAGCATAGAAGAAAAGAAAATTTTACTTGATCCATAAAAAGAAACTGACATTTACAGTTTGCTCTTAACATTTTTTCTTATCTTCACTCGATTAGATAATGGGACAGCATGTGCATGAAGGCATAGATAGTATTAGAAGATGAACAGAATAGAGTGGAAATTCGTATTATCAAGTATGACAGGCAATATATATACTACTAATAGAAATAATCATCAGAAGCAATTATTTCGAGTCGAGGACACTGAGACGAGTAACTAAATATCTCATTCTTTCAGATACAAATGACAAAAACAGCAAATATTTTGTTTTCGGTCATAATTTCATGATTTCACTAAGACACCTTACTGAATTATTTTTGAGTTCTGAATTCTGACGCGTTTCCTTCACTTTACATGTACTGATACTCCTGACGAACTCACTATCTCTGATCCTCCAGTAAAAAAAGAGATTGAACATTCAAGAAATATTATTCGTTTAATCATATTTTTTTGATATATGACATATTTCTATCGATAATTATTTCAGTTCTGACACTCAATAGGATTAGTCTAAAGTGATGCTATTCTGCTTTTCAAAAATATTACTCTTGCTATTCATGATTTTTAGGTGTTCGGCAAATTCGATATCGAAAATTTATCAAAAATTTTAGTGACAATGTCGCTGTAAATCTAAAATACAAAAATCATGCAATCGTGTCTACACATCTGTTTCTATTTGGTTTTTATAATAAAGTGAATTGTTTTGAGTTGTGCCATGGAAATAAAAAAAAGTGCACGGTGTTTCCTAATTTTGCTGACCGGTAATGTAATACACAAAATGTCTTTCCACAAAAATGATTATCTTATGTGATATCTCAAGATTATATACAATATCATGTATATATAAAACTTCTTATCTTTATCAAAAGATTATGTTATATATAGAAAGAGTTGTAGAACGAGAAAACGACCGGATTTGTTAGTTGAAAAGCTTCTAAATGGTTTTAAATTTCCGAGTGTACACTTTCAAGGTAAATGTATCGTTTTGTCACGAATTGTACACATATCAATCCTTATCTCATCTTAATTTCAACAAAAATATGGCTTGCTCTCGATGGTATGATGTTTTAACCTTGGATGAAAATAGTATAGAGTCAACACTTCAGTGAAGTGACGCTGGAATAATAATTCATGATAAAGATAAGAGAATATTTAATGGTAATCGAGAAACTGTTGTGCAGTGACATACTCATTTAGCTTTTCATTGAGTTTTTTTATCTGCCTGTTCTCTGAAGATTTTACAGTGATGCCAATTCCTGCTGCTCACAACAGCCCTTTTGTTGACCAGAACGAGATTATAACAGATTGATTGCCGACCGCTGCTCAAGAAGAAAATCTTTGGCAACATCAACAGGATGCTCTAATTGAATTGAGTAAGCATTTTGCCGATCCAGACAAACCAGAGATTGCACTTGTAATCTTGCCAACTGGATGTGGCAAGAGCGGAAGCGCTACGTTAGCGCCGTATGTACTCGGCGTACAACGTGTATTAGTTGTCACACCATCTATGGAGACTACTGAACAACTTGCTATTAATTTCAATGGTGGAAAGAATGATAAATTGTTTTATGAAAGGCAGCGTATTATCACTACCGATCTAGATCGATTTTTAGCGCCTGCTTATATTGCATTACGTTCTTCTGATAATCTTGTCACTAAAATGCACATATACCGTCTTGTTATTGCTAACGCACATAAGTTTGATACTACATCAAACATTGATATCAGCCAAATTCCAAATGATCTTTTTGATCTGGTGTGGGTGTGGGTGTGGGTGATTCTGGTTCTTCTTTTCTTTTAGACCCACACCCTACACCAACACCCACATGCACACACACACCCACACCCACGCCCCACGCCCCACGCTCCACCCACACCCACACCCACACCCACACCCACACCCACACCCACACCCACACCCACACCCACACCCACACCCACACTCACACTCACACCCACACCCACACCTACACCACACCCACACCCACACCCCACACCCTCAAGATTCGGTTCGATGTTAGACATGAGGTTAGTTATTGAAAATGTTTTGTTTCGAGAAACTCGAGGTAGATGTAAGGTCTTCTCAGATGTTCGTTATAGGAAAAGTTTATGGAGACATTGTGGAAGTAAGTATGGTTTGGCAACGATGATTAGAATATACTGTTTCTGTTTGTTTTCGATTGTGCCTAGAAGGTGAGAAGTTCGCGTTTTGTGGGAAGTTGAGCGTTATTAGGAGGCTTCTGGTGTATGGCTCTGAATGGATTGGTTTGGTTGACGGCTTTTGGCTTTTAATGGCATTTGAAATTGATTAGAATTGATTGTGTGATATAGTTTTGAGTTTTTTAATGGTTCTATTGTTTTTTCTTTTTTTTATGATGTTGAAATTGTCTGTTTATGTTTTGATAATGCTATAGTTTGTTCATGGTGTTATTGGGTCGAATTTTTGCAATCGTGAAGCAGTGAGGCATGGTTGTTTGGTTTGTTTGTTGTATCAGGTCATTGATATATTGTCGTCTTTTTTCGAAAGCCTTTGTTTTATGGGGAAAAGCTGTGTATGAATGTTGCCCTCTGTTTGTGTTTCGATTACTGATTCATGAACTATGATTTGTTTTTGGTTGTTCGTGATGGATGATTGTTAATTGAAGTATGTCTCCGTCTTTTGTATGTTCCGTCCAGCCTATTTGCATTAGGTGTCTTGGGGATTCTTTGAAGGCTGATATTTGTATGGATGAGGTCCATTCACTAGTCGAATTCACATCTGGATTTCGTCGGTTTTCTTTGGGTTCCGGTAGAATTTCACTGGATCTTGTCGGAAATTAGGATATCCGATGGAAGCCGATGATCGGATCTCTGGCGTTTTGTTATCCGATGATTTCCGGACCGGAAAGAAGAGGAATTATCAGGATCCGATGGGATTTATTTGGAGTGGTGACATCTTGTGTGAATCCGGTGTTATCCGATTGTCGGATTAGACTGGATTTGAAAGGATTACTTCCGGCATCATCCGGTTTGGTTTCCTGCTGGAGCAATCCGATAAAATCCGAGTGTATCCGCTCTAGAATCTGACAATATTCATCCTTTTCTGAAAGGCAGTTCTGAGCGGATGCGAGGTGATCCGATTGGCTGTTTCGTAAGGATCCGACCGTAACATTTCCGACGTAATCCGGACCGGAATCCTGTGCATGAGAATCCGACACAAAATGGATCGGATCCCGTCGGTTTTTTATGGAAGACGTCGGATTCCGGAGCAATCCCAATCGGGATCCGACGATTTCCGATAAGATCTATAGGTCAGATTGAATCTCTTGGGAACACATATTCCTTAGTAGTACTGGAAGCAGATCGAGTTTTTTCGAGTTCAATAAACTTCAAAATAATAAAATTCTCTGTTATGCATAAACATCCGTTTGATATTTTATACTAAAGATAGTGAAACGTAAAATAAGAATATAATTTGTAGAAGATGTCGGAAGAATACCCGATGTAAGGAAAGATTGTAATTTTATGTTAAAAAATGATTTTGATTATTTCTAATTTCAGGAATATCTTCTATAATACTGTACCATTTATTCTATTCACATTAATTATATGTAAGGAGTCGATTCAAATCTTCGTCATTTGAGCGATCAAAAAACAAATGGATACTAAATGTCAATATTCAGGTGAGCATGTCTATATACTAATGTAAAAAGAAAAATCAGCTTACAATCTGTGGTCTACAAAAGCACGAAAGAATTCATTCGAGTAATCAAAGAGCGGATCGAGAGGTCTTATTATACCAGCAGCTCCAAACGGGTTCGCAATAGGGCCGGTTTTCGTCCTAGAATGCCCCTAGATTCAACTATAACTGAATGAAAATGTCACGATATACGCATATTTCAACACGAAATACGACAGCAACGCTCTCCAATCTATGTTTCATATACAAATTTTTAAAAACCAACCAATATCTTCACCGTAGCCGAGAGAACTTATGAATTGCCGATATCCTGATTGTAATAGTGCCAGAGACCTCGAGGAATATGGTTTTCAAGCACTTTTCGTCTTTAACGTGAAATTAGAGCTGTATGCTCGTTTCTGGTTCTCAATCCGTACTACATGATGGGGTCATGGAGCCGAAATCATGAGGTTTTCGCCAACTCCAACAAAACAAATTTATTGTCTTCTCGGTAGAAAAAATAACTGTTTATAGGAAAGATGCGTTTATCGTAATCGATGAAGCTTTTTCTCATAAAATAGCTTGTTGCAATTCGATTCATGTCGATATTTTCTTGCAGCGATAAATGGAACCAGCATTCATGTCCGATAAGTAGAAATCAGTACCCGCTCCTGTAACGACCATATGCGCACAAGTAGATGGCACGTCGATTTTCTCTAGCCGTTCAACTGGATGAAGTTGTGATGTCCAGGTGCATTTGAAGATATTCAAAGCCGTCAAGATGTAAACATATCCCATTTTGTCAGTAGTTATTGCATCGATTGTGTGCTCCTTGTCGAGCTTTGGAAAGTCGACCGTTGCAACTGTTCCATCAGCGAGTGACACAGAAAACAGTTGTGTCGAATCATAGACGAAAAGTGTATTCGATTGTGAATGAAAGAGTAGATTCGGACAGTAGGTCACAGGTGTCGTGATCATTTGTTTGATTACTGGACTTTCCTTTGATATATCGAGTGAATAAAGCTGAGCGCTATCCAGTAGACTGAATACAAAGAGTCCAACAGTTGAAGTTGGTGCAATCGACCAAGGTTGAATGCTACGTTGAGAGAACACCTCGTAATCGAAGCAAAAAATGTTCTTGGATGGACCTTGAGCAAATAGACGTCCATTCTCCATATCGATCGTCATGAATGTAATCACACCTTCGTTGAGCACAACCAATCGATTTTCTTCAGGCAAGAATAAAATTGAACATGGATTGTCCAACTTATAAGCTCTCCAAGCATATCGGCGCCAATTTCGTCGATCTGCAATAGTTTCTTCGTCATCATCCGTCGACGGCTCGCTGTCTTCGAATGGATCGGATACGCGAGGCATTTCATCGTCAGATTCACCTTGGGAATAATAATCATCGTTTTCATTATCTTCTCCCTGTGCTTTTCGATTGTGTTGACAGACAACTTGCGAGTTGTCACTAGTTTTTGTCAAGTCGATTCGAGTCAAAAAATAGTTTGTAAGAGCGAACAAAACCTGATGCTCTTCATCCAGTTGTATCGTTGTTAGAGTGTTCAGCTCAGAAGCTATTACTTCACAGTGGACCAAACTTGAAGCCATTATCTCAGAATATATAATAATCTCTTCAACGCATTTCGCCTATTTATATCTTTCTGTTTAGTACTTGCACAACACTTTCAACTGGTGGTGCAATTTCGTTTGCTCTCTCTTCTTGGACTGATAGTCATGCGCAATGCTTCATATCTTCTTAAGAGTGACTCAAATCTGAATAGTCATTTGCTTGTTTTCTACATGACATTGACCTTAATAAACCTTTCAGATCTCGATAGGAGATGAGAATTGTGTTCGTTTCTTTCAGTCGACGCAAGAAGTTTCGGCGACTATGACGAGATCCAATTCAACTTCTTTGTGGTCATCGTATATGGCGATTAAAAAGGAGGATAACGATTCATTTCTCATCTCTTCGTCTCTCGATATCAAAAACCTTTTTCCGAAAAAATGTATTAGGATTGTAATACATTGAGGGACAATAATGACGCTGCTACTCATTCAACAAAGAAAATTAGGCGAACTTTGATTAAGCCAGATCATTTCATTGATTGTCGGTAGATCCAATAGTTCGAAGTACGTTTTCTTTCTTGATGGATACTCATTTGTATTTCGTATATCGATCTTTGATGTTATTCACGCCCATTATTGATAATGACTGGAATTTGTCGAGCATAATTGTGCGACGGATTGTAAGCACCAACAGTTTTCCTCAGCAACACGGAGAAAATCAGGTCGAACATCAACATGATCGCAAAAGTATCTCCTGCTCACAACTCGACGTAGTGATCGGAAGTCCCAGTTGAGTTCTAAGAAATAGAATTGTTGAGTATCGACTGTTAGTTTCCGATCAGAGAAATTCGGCGACCTATATAGGCTATCAGGCTCAGTCAATAAACTTGTTTCACGCAAGTGAGCAAGAATATAAATCCTTTCATGGCGAGGCTACCCATGCCACCATTCCATCTATGCGATGCCCGCCACGAAAGGATTAACACACTGCTATGCTCACTTGTTTCATTCGTTTTTGGATCTCTTTCAGAGTATAATTATTTAATGAATCGGAAGGCTAACAACAATAAAACATGGAAGCTGAATATGAGCAATGAATTATCAGGAAATGTTATGTGTAATATAGAGATCAACTTTTTCTATCGTTCAATTATACACGAGATGAACGGTTTTGTCTAGATACAAAATTTTTGTCGTTTGCTGCGCACTGTACGAAAGTATTTTTCGACTGGCATGACTCAAAGAAGCTTAAGCCAGGTTTGTAAAAAGAGAATTTATTTTTAAAATTTGAAATAAATTGATCTTTTATCGGACGCCTGAGGAAACTGCCCTAAATCGTGAAACTTACCTAAAGAATAGGGCGAGGGTGTGGGTGAGTGTGATTGGAAATAAGAGCCACGCCCACAATCACGTCCTAGTTTAGCTATTGATGAACTGATTCCTTCCAAGATGAAAAGTGATTGTTATATCATATCATCATTGATTTATTTCTCTAGTAATTGAGAAGAGGGTGTGGGATGTGGCTGTGCCTGTGAGTGTAGGTGTGGATTTAGTCATGCCAACCACACTCCCACCCACACCACTTTAATTATAGTAACATAACCAATGAAAGCTCCTCTAAGGAACTTCCTTCGCTTATGTTCTATATAGGAGACTAATGTTTCACGTGCTTCTATTAGGAAGGAGAGGAAAATACACAATAATTTGTGAAGTGTGTTCATCGGATAAACGCCTGCTGATAGAGACGGACCTCATTTTCCCGGTATTTGACAGGATTTTGGGTTCTAGCACTAAATGACTCATTTTCCCGCTTTCGATCAAACTAAATCTTAAAGTTATTTAGTGTATATTGCAAATCTTGCCGATCTCTATAAATCTAACTGCTTTTAGTATCCAATCAGAGATGGGCGAGTCAGCTATTTTTTTGACTCAAGTCAAGTCAAGTCATTTGTCAAAGAGAGTCAAGTCAAGTCATTGCTCGAAAAAGAATATTTTCAAGTCAAGTCAAGTCAAGTCATCAATTTGGGATATGGCATTGCAAGTCAAGTCAAGTCAAGTCATCAATTTGGGATATGGCATTGCAAGTCAAGTCAAGTCAAGTCTGTGTTCTAAACCAAGTCAAGTCAAGTCAAGTCACAAGTCATTAACATGAATTTTTTTCCAATTTCATAAATTAGTTATGTATCAATTTATTGAAAAAAATTTTACATAAGTCCCTGATTACATTTTAACATAGTTAACATTTGTAATGGCTTCCTTGACATTCTGGCCTTATGTTGCCGAAATATAAAGCCACTTTGTGAGAAAATTCTCTCTACAGATGATGATGTGGCAGGAACCGTCAAAACTTTCCTTGCTAATTGATTCAACGTTTTGTATTTAATTGATTGATTAAGTAGAATAAACCTTTGTGAATCACTATCATCATCATTAAGATAACTAGTAATTTCATCTTTGATAAATGCAAGTTGTAATTGATCTAACCAGTTTAATACAATAGGTCACGTGTGATGTACACTCAACCGTATAATTGCTTATATACTCGCGAATGTCGATGTCAGACAGTGTCTTTTGTAAGACCAAACAGACTAGACGAATAAACAATCTATTAAAAATTCATTGTTTATTCGTCTAGTCTGTTTGGGACCTTATTTTATACGCCTAGGCCAAATATAACCTGACAAGAATCTAATATGCATGGAAGCTGCAAAGAATAGCTGACTTGACTTGTATTTTTTTGTCTAGTCACAAGTCAAGTCAAGTCAAAAAATGAAAAATCAAAGTCAAGTCACGTCAAGTCGCAAGTCATTAAAAAAATTTTCAAGTCAAGTCAAAGTCAAGTCGCAAGTCATTAAAAAAAAATTTCAAGTCAAGTCAAGCAAGTCAAAAATGACTTGACTTGACTTCGACTTAAGTCATTTTTGACTTGACTCGCCCATCTCTGTATCCAATACAGGGTGTCGCTGTGGATGTGGGTGTGAGCGTAGGTATGGATTTAGTCATCCCAACTACACTCACACATCCCCAACCACAGGCACATCTACCCTCAAACCCATACCCACATCTCGCGTCTGATAAATCAGTTGGTTTCGAATAATAATATTTGGTTAACACTTTCGTGCTGCTAGAAAATTGAATCTGTGAACACTACATAAAGTCTTATCGAATATTAGAAATTATTCTCTGGTTTATTTTCTAATAATCACGGCATTATAATAAAATAAACAACAAACATAATAGAATTCATTATTATACGAGATCTGTGATTCTTAAAGATTATAAATATGAAGTAATCAATTTTTTATTGTTTTGGAGACTTGAATACAACCAAGTAGCTTATAAATATCTTGTTCTTATTGCTGTGCTGCTTTCTGTTCATTATATATTGATAGAAGAAGATTCTTGAGTTCTGCATCGAAAATTTGTTCTAATTCTTTTACATAATTTTGAGCAATCGAATATTGTCCAAGTGGAATTTGAATCATTTTACCATGAACAGTACTACCGATTGCTAATGTTATAATTTTACCTTCATCATTAGTATTTGTAAAACAAGTAATTATAACAGAATAACTTTGACCACGCCAAAAATATGTGAGAAAATCATCATGTCGATATTCGTTCATTGGATGTTGTGCATTATTTAACCGGGAAAATTTCAACTCGTCACGATTTTTATTTTCTGGCTTTCGTAACGAATAGACAGTACGAAAGCCCGTAACAGAGCTTTGGTAACGACAGAATCAGGGCTTTCGTAACAAAAAATCAGGGGTTTCGTAACAAATTTTACAGGGTGATCGTAACGGGTGTTTTGATATGTACCATTACAGAGCTTTCGTAACGAAAAGCATGTAATTTTTGCAAACTAAGCCCAACTATCTTCCTCATTCTCGTTACGAAATCCCTGTTGCTTCGTTGCGAAAGCTCTACAACTGTTACGAACTCCCTGTATTGATCGTTACGATCGCCCTGTAAATTTCGTTACGAAATCCCTGTATTTTTGGATATCCGTATTTTTGGCGTTACGAAAGGTCTGATTTTTGCTGTTTGTTCAACTCGTCACGTGACGAGTTGAAACTTTCTCATTTAACCACGTACAATTTCCATCGAACCACATAAATTTATCAGAATGTGAATCTGAAAATTTCTTTTTAACTTGGGTAAATGTATCGGCTGCTTTTTGAATAGCAGCGGGATGAGTACTTTTTTCTATAAACTTATGCGATGCTGTCAAACGAAGTAGATTCTGGAAAATACTTTCAATTGAATTCAGTTTTGAAACATCCGATGTTAATAACTCCCGAACAGATTTGATTCGACATTCTAAATCTTCAATTGTCCATGGTTCATATTCACGAAAACCAAAAGCACGATTAAATGTATCAATCAAATATGTTCTCAATCGATCGATTTCTAGATAGAAAAGAGACAATAGTTTTGTTTTCAAGACAAAATAAAAAATAAATATCGAAAAGACAATCGATTCATATGCATCGAGATTCGTTTCAAGAGCAAAAAGAGAACGAAAACTAATTATCACTACGTACTTGCAGATGAAATATCACGAGAAATTTTTTTAATGATTTTGTCGCGTACTTCAAATTCTTGATGAGGAAGTACATTTTCATTGTGTTGAGGAATCCTACTAGTCAATAACCAGAAAAGAATAGCAACAATAACTGATGCATCATTAGTTGGACTGTGTTTGAACGATTGAACATATGTTTGTGGTGGTCGATACCATCGATATGCTTTTTCTTGGTTTTTGGCAGGAGATTGATCAGATTTGATGTAGGCTTGAGTAAAATTCAATAATGTCAAATGAGCTTGACCAAGAGACGAGTTTG